TGGATGGATGAGTGGGTACGTGGGTGGATGGGTGGATAATAGATGGATGGACTTAAAAGTGCAAAGAAGGCAGAAGAGAACATCAGAGAGCCCTTCAGGACTCTACTCAGATGCAAGCACTCATCACTTCCTGCTCCAACAGCAGCAGCCTATGGCTACTCATGGGCCAAAGTGTTACAGAAATGGACTTGCCAGCAAAGGCAGCAGCACTCACACTGGGTGGCAGCCTGAGCTAAGCGTGTTCTGGCCAAAGCACTGTGTTCTCCCCACCTCCCTGCCTCTGTCCCAGCTCCTCCCTTGGTTTGGGGGTTAGTTCTCTACTTCCTTTGGGCTGTTTTTGACTAGGCCTCTCCTGGAAACCCTACTTTCCACATCTTAGCTGGATCTGAGGGCTCAAGGGTGTGCATTTGGCTTGGAAGAAAAGTATCTTCTGACACACATAACGTGGGCCAAGGGCTATCACTAGGCAGCTGTGCTGCAGTAGAGAGTGGGCTCCTGGCCTTAGGTGCTTCTATTAAGGGCAAGAAGGGGCCCTGCACTGCTTCCAGAGCTTCCAATTTCCCTCCCTGACTCCTCCAAGCCCCACTGTACCATCTCTTTTCATGAGCCTACTCAGGGTCAGCTTCTCTTCCAGGCTGGTCCAGGGCCTTGGGACCTCAGCCCAGGAGAGGGTCACAAGGCAGAAGCAGCTGTGCTCCAATGAGCAGAGCCAGGGAGCCCTGCCTGCCACTGCTCTGCTAGCTCCAATTCTAGTCCCTTCCTTGCATGCTTGTTCCCACCCAGAAGGAGGAGGCCGTCTTCTATCGGACTCCTGGAAAGGGAAGTGAAGCCTCTCTCTTTCCCAAGCTTCCAGCTGAAGCCAGCAGGGCTGAGTGCTGGGCACCACTATCCAGAGAACACCAGGTGCCCAGCAGCCGCCCCAGTACTGGCTCACATGCAGGAGATTGAGCAGAAGCCTGTAAGCCAGGACAGACTGTGCTGTGGGTTCATGCCTAGGCTTCCCTGGAATAAGTGGGTCTTAGTGCAGGGGAATGACTGGCACCTGCCTTATGTAACACCTCAGTAGGCCCCAGTCTGGTAGGCATGGGGTCTAGTCCACAGAAACCCTCGGTCCCAACAACCCAACCCCTTTCCCTGGCAAGGGAGAACCACACAGCTCTGTTATGGTTTGGGTATGACTTATTTCCCCAAACTCATGAAAGAGTTTAATCCCTAAAGCCACACATTAATGGTATCAAGAGGATAGGAACTGACCTGGCTACAGTGTTTAGAGGTGGGGCCTTTGGGAAGTAATTAGGTTTAGATGACATCATTAGCATGAGTCCCATGATTGAGTCTTGGTGGCTTTATGAGAACAGGGATAGAGATACACCAGCAGTTGTCTCTTGCCACAGGATGCTCTGCGGCCATACACCACGAAGTGAAGCAGCCACGACTGAGCCTCACTGGAGTCTGTGCCATGCTGTTTGGACATACAGCCTCCAAAACTCTGAGCTAAATAAACTTAAAAAATAAATTAAGTTAGTCTGCCTCAAATACTATGTTACAGTAAGGAAAAATAAACTAATACAAGACCCCACCTCCAAAATGAACTGTTGGGGCAGGGTACTGGCAAAGCCACTGTCAGGGCTCCTTTCCCTAACTTGGGGGGAGAAGTGAAGGGGATATTTGTCCTCCTTCTCCAGCCTGGAAAAACTCTTGCATCTCAGAGGAGCTTTGGTAGAGAGACAATTTGGGACACATGAGGACATCTCACCAGACAACCTGGCAAGCCTGCTGGCCCTTGCAGGCTGCAGTTCAGTGCAGCATTTCTCGAGAGATGCTGTGCCCTGGGCCTCCTGCATCAGCACCAAGGAGCAGCTTCCTCCCTGCACAGAACTTGGCTACCTCCCAGCCTCATTTCTTCTGGGTCTAACCAGTCTTAAGCCAGGTTTCCAAATTACTCATTCCCAAGAGACAGCTGTCCCCAGTGGGGACAGTGGGAGGTCAGCTCAGAGCAGGAATATAGTTTGCTTGGGCTCACGTGCCACCTGGCCCATGTGCCAACACACCAAGCTCTTTGTCTCACACACACACACACACACACACACACACACACACACACCCTCAGCAGCCAGCTGTGGCTACACCGGTGTGAATGAGGGCCTTCGACTTGCATTCCTGGAAATCTTTAGCCCCAGTCTTCCTGCCTAGCTGCCTCCCAGCTTCCCCCAATAGCACTGAAGGTTAGGTTCAAGGGCTGAGATGGGCCATGCTGGAGGAAGATAGGAGCTTGGCCAGAAGCTAGGCCACGCCAGTTAACCACCTCCCTCCCAGGACAAACTCATCGCACTTCAGGAGAGTTTGAGCAGCAGACTGCCAAGCCCTTTCTCTGCTTGGCCTCCCTCTCTCTAAGCATGATGAGACAAAATGTTCATCTGGTCACTGTTGAAACTTATACTGAAGGGTCTGGCATGGTGGTATACACCTATAATCCCAGGGATTAAGAGGCAGAAATTGGGAGAACTGAGGTTCAAGACTAGCCTGGGCAAAAGTTAGCAAGACCCCCATCTCAATCAATAAGCCGGGCAGGCTGGTACATAACTATAATCCCAACCATGAGGAAGGTGTAAGTAGGAGGATTGTGATCTGAGGCCAACCCCAGGGGAAAAACATGTGAGACCCTATCCAAAAAAAAAACACCAAAGTAGTATCTAAAGCAAAAATAGGTTAGGGCCTTGGCTCAAGCAAGCATGAGACCCTGAGTTCAAACCACAGAGCCATTAAAAAATCAAGAAAGAAAGAAAACAAAAAGAAACTAGCCTTGAAAACCTGCAGGGACCCGTCAAAAGGGAAAAGACATGATTTACTTGGACCTGGATCAGGCCACTGCACCTTGACTAAAGGCAAGAACAGGAGTGCAGCTGGCCTGTACAGCTGCCCCCACCCCCTCCCCACCCCCCACTCCTTCCCTTGCCCCGAGTCCTGAAGCCCCAGGCTAGGGCTTTGAAAAATGCAAATCTGACCACATCACTGTCCTGCTGTGGGGCTTCTGCGGGGCTTCTGGATACTCTTAAAAGGAAACCTAAGAAGCCACTGAGCGAAGCTCCAATGATCTACACAATAAAATAGAGCAGTCTTGGATTACAGCCCAAAGTACAAAATAAATACCCATGAGTCCACACTGACATAAATAAATGATTGAATACATTAATAAATGGGGGAGAAGAGACAGACCTCCTGTACAGAAGAATTGTAAATAATTTATGCAGTGCCCATCTCTAACAGGAGACATTACAGCTCTCCATGGGAAAGTGGGGCTGAGGCCAGTGACTTCCTTCCAGAGACTGTAGGATGGGGAAGCCTGAGGACACCACGTCAGCCAAACAACAAAGGTCAAGACCACAGTCACCAGTCCTGCTGACGCACCTCCCTAGCATGGGATGAAAAAGGACATTTTGCCTCTATCATCTTCCCCTCAAAACCCATAATCCAGGTCCAGTCATGAGAGAAACATCAGACAAGTTCCAACAGCGAGGCACCTGACCAAACACCCAACCAGCACTCCTCCAAGCTATCAAGGCCCCCAAAAAGAAGGAAGTCTGTGCAACTGCCACAGCCAAGAATCGTCCAAGGAGATTAAATGCGTGCTGTGTTCTGGATGGGATCCTGAACCAAACAAAAGACATCAAGGAAAAACTGAGGAAATCCAAATAAACTGTGGACTTCACTTAATGATAATGGATCCATATTGGTTCGCTGATTGCATCAATTACCGTTCTATTGTTAAGCTGTGAACAGAGGCAACTATGTGCCCGCATGAATGGCAGCTTCCCCATACTATCTTCTCAGTTTTTCTTTAAATCTAAATTATGCTTTAAAAAATCTACTAATAAAAAAAAAATCTACCAAAAGAAACAAAAGATAAAACTCCCAATCTTAACTATGATCTGCCTAGTCTGATCGCCTGGCCCAACCTGTTGGGTCACCTACTGTTCCCTTCTTTCCAGGCTTCAGCCACTACAGGTGTCTTCAGTTCAGGTCCAGTGCCAGTCCTTCTCTGTGCCCAGGGGCCTCACAGGTCCAGTGCCAGTCCTTCTCTGTGCCCAGTGTTCCTCCCTGGGTGACACTTATCCTGTCCTAAGGGTCCTCTGCCCACGTGTAATTAAAGCTGCTCAGCCTTCAGGTACCCTGGGAGGGGAGTCCCACTCCAATTGCTGTCTCCATGTCTGTCTTCTCAGAGGCCATGAGCCACAGGAGAGCAGGCAGTGTGTGCCTTCTGGCCTCTGTGCCCTGTCCTTAGCATGGTGTCTGGACCAAACAGGCCCAGACGCATGCTTCTAGCACTCATGTATAAGTGAAGGAGATTCAGAAGCAGCCAGAACTGTGCAGACTCGAGGGAACAAACTCCCCAAGGCATGATCACCCAGTGCACACCATGTAACAGGCTGGGAGCTTTAAGGCCAGGTGACTTCACCTGGAACAGGTGGGCATCACTCATGTCAACTGGCTCTGGGAGGGACCAGGGACCTTGATGCCCTCCAGACTGTATCAAGGAAAGCTGGGGAGGGTGGAATTCCTTCAGACTTCAGCAAGAATCTACTGTAGCCCCATGGATAAGCTTGGTCCTTTTTTCAAATAGAAGCATAATATACAAATAGTAAAATTACTCTTTCCAGTATAGCAGTGCAAATTTTGACCAAGATAGAGTCATGTCACCACCACAATCAAGACACGGGACTTTCCATCACCCCAAAATCCCTCCAGCCCAATCGTAATGAAGACACTCTTCCAACTCTGCCCCAGCAACCACTCATACAGTTTTGCCTTTTCTAGAACGTGAGGTAAATGGAACCTACAGGATAAACATCCACACACAAGCTATTGGTTCTGCCGCTCTGGAGCTCCGGGCATCCCTAGCTATAGGAAGAACTACTGGTAGGGGGAAGTCTTAGACCAGCTACAGCCCAGACATGGAGTGACCGGGCTCTCCTCCCGCTGCAGAGGCACTCGTACAGTACCTGCTGATGTCCTTGGGCAGATCCTGGTTGGAGGTGGTGGAGGCTTCTACTCCATGGCCAGCTGGGGTGGAAGGCGAAGCTGCGTGTTCTGAGGCTGCATGTTCTGACCCCGCATGGGCAGCAGCTGGGGAGGTGCTGGGGAACACAATGGGAGAATTATTCTACATGGATCTCAGCTCATTAGTGGCACATTCATCAGGCTCCACTCACCCCACACAACCCACCCACCCGCGGACTATTAAAAGACCCAGCACCCTGCTTCTCTGGGCTCCCCACAGGGGCCTCCTTGTACACATAATGGAGACTACAGCCATAGCCAGGCCAGGCCCTCAAGTTCTTCACTCCTCAGGCTCCAGCAGAACTGGGGTCTCATTAACAACTCAGGTGTTTGGGACCCTCTGTGTGAGTTTCCTTGTTTGATTTGTGTTCAGAGGAGAGGAATTTTGTAGAGCAATGAAATTCTGAGTTGAAAACTAAACACAACTTTACAGTTCTCCAGGATTTGCCCCAAAATTCCAAGGCTGAGAAAAGTCCAAGTGAATAGGCTGATGGGTAGCCAAGGAACCTGTGCGGGGACTTGGTGACACCTACCCGCCCCCCCCCCCAACCAAGAGCTCCACAGTAGGGCGCTTCCCTAATGACTTAGCACCCCCTCCTGGACAACCAGGGAGCAGCACCTGAGAACACAAGCAGAAAGCAGAAAGGCGCAGGTTTGGAGCTCAAAAAGAGGTTCTATTGTCCCCTTTGGCAAAAAGCTGGGCTAGCAATGTCATCCACAGTCTAGCACAGTTTTCAGGGTAAGAAGCCCTCCCGCCTTTGCGGCCATCCACTCTGCTGTGCCAGGGGACCTGGCGGGCTGAGGGACTCTCAGAGGGGTCCCGGCTGGAATTATATGACTCAGCGGGAGGACCTGAAACTCAGCTTGTGGTGGCAGCTGGGGTTTGAGGTTTCACAGCCTTGTGCTGCAGCATCCCTTCTTCCCTGTGGGTCAAATACCCACAGAAGTGCTGCTCACCAGCAGTCTTGCAGGCTGTGCCTGCACAGTTGCACCCTGACCCTGGAGGACAGACAGTGGCTCCCACACCCATACCCTGGAAAGGGAATTCTCAGTCTGTCCCAAGCTCTGCCTCGACCTCGCAGGGGCCTCATCCCTCTCTACACGACCTCATGGCTCTGCCTCACCAGCGAGGCTGTCTTTGGTTCCCAAAATGCCTTCTGCCTTCTCAGCTGGCAGCCTCTGCCCTCCTCACTCAGCAAGGCCTCCCCTTCTAGATGTGTGGGACACTGTATGCCGGTCACATCAGGACCATCATGCCCACTTTCTGATGGATGGAGCTTCTCCACTCCCTGGTGACACACATTTGTCTCAGGGCTGCCCTACCCCAGGGAGAAGAGCCTCAGGAATCCAGGGGACACTCTTGTCTCATGCTCCACTGTGACCTAACATCCAGCCAGGTTGCCCACAGGAAGCATCAACACACAGGCAAACAGAGAGCCCAGACTGTCCCACTGGCTGTAACCAAGTGTCAGGAGCACAGCCTGAGCTGGAATTCATGTTGTCAGATCCCCTGGGGCCCCGCAGAAATGGAGAAAAAAAGAAGAGCCCAGAGAGTATGGATCCTGGTAGGCCCAAAGCAGCCAACCCATAGTGAACAAAACAAGTACTTGGAAAGAACCAGAAAATGCACAATGTGGTTTACAGGGAGAGCAACCCTGCAGTTGTCCAACTATTGTTTATCTGCAATGTGGACAATGGCAGAAATGATTTGTTTTGGAAAAGAATGATTCAAGCCAGACATGGTGGTACACACCTGTAATCCCAGAGCTCTAGAAGTTGAGGCACAAGGATGTGCCAGCCTAAGCTACATAGTGAGACCCTGTCTCAACAAATAAGAAAAAAAAAAAAAAACGCAGCATAAACAAGTCAAAATACTGAGGGTAGTTTAAGCTCCTGAAGAAGGCATTTTCACACTTTGGACGTCCACCTTTATTTATTTTCATAGCTCAGCAAATAGACTACGTACAAAAGCAAAGGAAAATTTAGCTCTCTCACAAGCTTAAACTGGCTAAGTTCCTCCCCACACTTACACATATCCCAGAAGATTTAACTTAATAATGTGAAAATTGAGGAAAGGTAGATAGTTTGGGGTTCTGTTATTTTAAGGCTACTTCATCAGAATAAGAGGAAAGATCTGTGTGTTTGAAATACTGGCAGAGGCAGCCTTAAGTCTGGGACTCCATGACAGCCCACAGCTTGGGATCGGATGAGGAAGCCCCCAACCTACAAATCTGAGAAGATCCCAGAGCAGCACAGCTAGCTCTCAACACCAAACTCCCCTCCCTCAGCTCAGTGACCTGAAGATCCAGGCTGGCCTTAGGTCAATCTTGTTCCCAAGGGGCCACCTGATGGCTGCCTCCTCCCTTCCCTCTGTTGGCCCTGGACCTCCAGGGCCACACCCTTCCTGCCCTGGCCTGGTCCCATTAGCCAAAGGCACCAAACAAATGACTCAACAGTCCAATTAAGAATGGCGCCTCCCTCCCCCTGCAGCCTGCTCTTGGCCCATCCCCAGTGGCTGAAGGTTGGGCCCCAATAGGGACTTGATGACTCACCACCAAGCCAGGACACCTCCCCGCCCCAGGAGAACTCCTCCCTGGCCTTCCTCCTCCTTCAACCTCCAGAGCCTGGCCAGGCCCTGCACCGGAAGTCAGGGCTGTTGGACGCTTCAGTTCTCTCACTCCCAGGGCCCCTCATCCCCTCCTCCTGATGAGTCACCTCCTTCTCCCAGAATCCATCCTCTCACTCTGGCCACCTCTGCTGCCCCAGGCTTTGACCCTCTTGGATTAGAACTCCTGGGACATCCAGCTGTGCCTGCTTTTGTCTCCTGAGGTCTACAACCCCACAGCTACTAGCTCAATCCAACTCCAATTCTGGTCAGGTGCTTAAAACCCTCCCCAACTTTTCATGGCGTTTGGAGTGCAGGGGAACCCCTGGCCTACAGAGCAGCTCTCTAGACCAGCTCTGAGTCATACCCAGGCCTGTCTCTGATGCTCCCTGCTCCAACCTCACCTGTCCCACAAGTTCTTAGGATGTGCTGAGCAGTGCCTTTGCTCTGGTAAGCCCTCCCCCTGAAGGGCCCTACCTCCTTCATGCTGACCCCAGACAAGGAAGCCCTTTTCCAGGGGGTAACAGTGCCCAGCTGGTGCTGCCAGGCTGGGCTGGGACTGCACCATCTCAGTTATTTCTCCAAAACACCTCCTGCTAGACCAGAGGCCGAGAGCAGGCACGAGGTTCAGCCACTGGCACAGAGCCCCCACCGGCACAGACCCTGGCACACATGCTGGTGCTCCACAAGCAGCAGGGCCCTTCCCTGACCCCCCCAAAACTTATAGGCCACTGAGAGCAGGGCAGTTGTCCTTCCGGACAATTCCTTCTGGGAATGCCAGAATCTAAGTGCTGAGGTAGGACCAACAATTTGCAGGCACATTGGAACTCAAACAAAAGCAAAGTGAAACTGCAGGGCCTATATTGCCAAAGTATCAGGAATTCAAGACAGAAACTAGCTGGGCACAATGGTTCACACCTGTAATTCCAGCTACTCAAAAGGCAGAGGTCTGGAGGATCGAGGCTCAAGACCAGACTGGGTAAAAAGTTAGTGAGACCCCATCTCAATTGATAAGACAGGCATGGGAGTACATACCTGAGATCCTAGCTCCATGGGAGGCCATAAGTAGGAGAATCATGGTCTGGTACTTGAAAAACAACTAAAGCAAATCAGGACTGGGGCTGTGGCTCAAGTGGTAGGCACATACCTAGCAAGCAGAAAGCCCTGAGTTCAAAATTCCAGTGCCATAAAGTAAATAAATAGACTGCCTGGGTCACACACCCAGAGGGCCAGCCCTGGACTTGAACCTGAGGAGGACCTACTCCTGACTGCAGAAGGCACCAAGGGAAAGGTCTTTGATTGGCTCCTGTGTCCACTCAAGGTCCCCATGACCAGCAGGGACTGTTGTAAAGACATTATTTTCAGGAAGGGCTGCACTTCACAATGCCCACTGCTACTCTCAGCCAATGGGGGGACCTCCCAGGTAGCTACCAAATCCCACACAGAAAGGCAGAGATTGAGGCGGGGTCCTTATCCTCTGTTCTCATGCCACCCCTGTTCCCCGCTGACCTCTGAAAACAGGCTGAAGCCTAAGGTGGGCAAAAGCCCTGCTAGTTGCATTGATCACATATTTTTTTTTGGTTGCACTGGGGTTTGAACTCAGGGCCTCACGGTGGCTAGGCAGGCACTCTATACCACTTGAGCCACTCCACCAGCCTCCTGCTAGTTGTAAATGTCCAGGATCCTATTTAAGGAGTTGATCAATATTTTCCAAACCTCACTGAACTAACAAAGAAGCAGGATTTGAATTCATGCAGTGTTTATATTTTTGGAAGGTGAAAGTGTTGATTTAAACTTTTTTCTTTTTTGTTAGGATGGAGTTCATGAATAGCAGCTCAACTGTCATACTTTTAGCAGATAGGCATTACTTGTCAATCAAGGTACTCGTCTGTTAAACCCTGTTAGGCAAGCCCTCAGAATCCTTCTCAACACAGACCCCTAGGGGACCAGTTTGCTATCCCTGAATTAATACCTTGCCAAGATCCTCACAAACAATGATGGTCCCACTGTCCACTCGGCCACAGTCTCCACCCACAAACAACAGAGCAGAACGCAGCTCTGGGACTTCCTCTCAGCCCAACAGGCCTGAGTCTGCTACAGTTGAGAGGCTGTCAGCCACGGGCGCCCTCTGATTCCCTGCTCAGGGCTTTGCATCCTTCTTGGCAGAGTTCCCACTGAAATTTCATTCCAAAGATCAGCTGGAGTTGCCAAATTAAGCCCCTTTCCAAGGACAAAGAGCAGAGTGACCCAGGCTGTCACAGGAGGGTGACAACGGCCCCCAAGGTGCAAGCTGAACATATCAGTCCTGTAAGGCCAGATGGACTGGCAGCATCTTATCTCTCACTTTGTATCACCATCTGGAAGACATTTAGCATAGCAGCCCTTTCTCCTCCGCCTCTTGGTTTTATTTCTCCTTGAATCCCCAAGTGCACACGATCACGTAATAGGGCAGACGTTAAGGCCAGAGACTCA